GGTGGTCTACTGCTTCGGGCAGCAACTGTGGTTTGGCCAAACTCTTTATATTTTTGTATGACGTTATGAACTGTAGAGCTATTGAACGTTAAAATTGGACGTCTGTGTGTTGCACAAATAACGATGCAACTCACCTTTATTTATGTCGATCATCCCCGATTCCAAACTTTTGTCCGGTGAGTGTATACTAAAAACTAAAGATGGTGTATGTGTACAGTACCATGTATAGTATACAGTCTCTCCATAATTTTCCTTTTTTGAAGTATTGTAACCAAATAAAAGATAGGAATCTCTGTGTTAGGTTTTATTTAATACAAATGTTGTTGGCTAGTCAATTGCATCGAAATATTTATTCTTTTTGGTTTAAAGGTCAAAATTTATAAGAAATCAACTAAAATTATTTTTTTTATCTACAAATCTCATCATCTTACTTTAAAAGGTCTCACAAACGGTGCGCCAGTAACCCAAGAACTCATAAAAACATGGTTTGGAGGTGGCAAAACGGTCGACAACTATTGTCGCGAAAATTATGCTGCTGTTCTTGAGGATATTCGTGAAAATGGAAGTTATATTGAAGAGATGAAACAGAGTCCTGAGGTATCAGAATATGTTTCTTAGTATTGTCCCATAATGATTTTTCCGGAGATTTTGCGGATAATACTAACATTCTTAGCATTCTTCATTATTATGCACTGCACAATTTTCCCCGCATCTTATCTTTTAAAATCATCATATATATATATAATATTTTCGTATTAACTAAAAATAGTACGCTCTGACGCTCACAATCCTACTAGACCAATTCTCACGAAACATTTATCGAAAAACTGCGATCCCATTCCGTGACTTTGATCCGTTAGCGTTACAAGTTACGTATCATGCGATTGATAAAAAGTTCGATGAGAGGTTGAATGCGGTGGAGCGTGGTTTTCTGTATATGGCGAGTATTATTTTTTTCTTCTTTTATTTTGATTTATATGTTATTATTTCATAAACTTTCTTTTCTTTGATTTTGTAGCCGTTAGAGCATTCGGAAAGTAAAAATGATCAAGAATTATCGATAACGAAATTCAAATGGAATTATGAGACTGCACCTCCCGTAAGTTAAATTATATAGTTCTTTTTTCAAATACTTTTTTATTCATCATCTTAAATTTTGATATTCAAATTTAATAATTAACACATTCACTCTTGAAGCTCCACACTCAAGTAACGAAAGTCTTCTACGAATATGCGCAGAGTCATAAATCTATTATTGACAAATTTGGACGATATCCACATCGTAATAAAATTCTCGGCCGTGAATCGAGTATTGAGGAAATTGAATATCTGAAGACGGCGGATTCTTAACTATTATGAAATTATTGTCCTGGATTAATGGCAAAATATTACATGTAATTGAATATTGAGTAAACTTTATGAAAGCAGAATTATTTTTCGCATGTTTAACGTCTACTGTGAAAATTAAATTTTATAATCTTGCATAAAAAGTGGTTTATGTAATGAAGCACTGTAGTCGTATTCGTTTTGTATTCTTCGAAAAGTGAGTCGCCACTTTAATGGAGCCGTTCTTCAAATACCTTTCAAGACCCATGTAGAATTCTTGAAATCCTATTCATACATAGCTCTGTACGTTCAATAGTAAAATTTTTCACGTTAATTTTTCTACATCATGACCATACCCAATGCAAAGAATAAATTACAAGAGTTCTTTGAAGATTATGTGAACGTAATTTTAACGTAGTTAATCGCATTATTTGTTTAAATTCGAGTTTAAACGGTGGTGCGCAATAAGGCTTGAAACATAATATGAAAATTAATCTAAAAAAGACTTGAAAATTAATATATTAAACAAAAGGTATACTCTTATATTAAACAAAAGGTATACTCTGAAATTAAAAATCTCTAAGAGCTTACATGCGAGAAATCGTCGAACAGAGCTTAGCACAGTCAATCGTATCTAGTTTTAATATATATTTTTTGTTGAAAGAATTGCTCTCGAAACTAAAAATTTGGTTTATTGAATATCTCGAGAACCTTCTTTCACAGCTATTTTCATTAAAAGATAATACCTTCGATTTATCCATTAATCAAATTTACTGAATGAGCTTCCTCTTTTGCTTTTCATTTTTCCCGGTTTGACTTCTTGATTCAATCGTTTGTATCAATATACATGTACATGTATTTTCTTTTTTTAGTAGGTCGTAACATCAAAAATTACATGTACATGTGGAGGGAAGAAAAGTACATGTGCATGTACATGTATAACGATAACGATAAGGAATGTTTTTCTAATGCTAATATTGTACTGCATTTTTTAGAAGGATCTTCATACGATAGCGAAGAATCTTAAAAGTGCATGCCAATCTAATTCTTGAAGCTATTAATGCTAATAATGAAATATTGAACTAAAAGAGTTAATAAAAATAGTAGAATTGTCAATGGTGTGCGCCAGTCTATATTAACAATCCTTTAAAATAGCGTTACATTTTTCTTACTTCATATAATTGTAAAAATAAAAGATTTACAGTAACAGTAATATGTCGTTTATAAATATGCAAATTTGTATACAGCACTATGTTCATCCTCCTCCATTAATGCTCTCTGATTTAGTCCCAAGTATATGCTGTCTTCACTGTATGTAACGGAAAAATCCCGCTGTGATTTTGAAAAAAATTCTTTTTGATTTTGAAAAATTCCGTTTTATTCCGAAATTGAATTTTATTAATAATATTTATATTAATTATTACGAAGAGATTCTTTACAAAAATTCTGCTTATCAACATCCAAAATTTTGATATATGCACTAACACTACATAATGACATTGATAAATTAATAAATCTGATATCTATTTCATTAATTGATATGAAATTTTATTCCAAAAATCAATTCAATTTCATTTAAATTAAAAATATTCATTCTTGGAAAAGTGTCATGATACATTATTATTAAGTGTTATTTGTACAAGTTTATGATTTTCTTTTAATTTTTATGACTTGCTGTATTAATATGCGAAATAATAGAAGTTTTATGTTCCCACTTAATTAAATGACTACAAACTGACATAGTATGTAATAAATTCCATTATCATAACAAACATCTTCAGAAAAATCTTGTACATGCTACTAGTATATTCGTTTTTGCTTAGGAAGCATAGCATTTTTCATAAATAAACCTACATACATGTAACGATAATTTATTTAACTGAAATAGGGATAATTATTCAACAATCTATAAAACAATACATATACTGTAATATATATTTATATAAATTCCCTTTATAGGAGGAACGTTAGTATTATCAAATCGCTAGAAATTTCATTATAAAGACACGTTTAAGGTCAAATAAAATAAAGACATAATTGTATCTAAATTTTTGCGTTGAGCATTTTTACTTAGCGATAAAAGGCCAGTTATCATAGTAAAATTCTTGCTTTGAATTTACATTTAATGTTCCAGTAAAAAATGGTGCTTAGATAGATTTGTAGAACATACACTCAATGGAAGAAAGACTTTACAAATCACATGTTTTTAGCATACAGTGTGGGACAATTGCTTTTAGAAAATGTTAACGTTACATAAATGCCTGCCGTTTGACCAATTTTAGTCCAAT